TCATAATGCTGGATGATGTGATCCAGTCAAGTTGATATGTACAATTAACCAACACACATATATGTATACATATTCATATGCATATTCATCTTCTACTTTGAGACTTTAAGACCAGAAACAAATACACATATGAAAGAAGTAAAATGCTAGAAATCTAAAACCCGAATTCATAATATTAATCCAATCAATAGAGTCTTGCTTTGAAACCAAAAAATAAGCTTTCTTTACAAGAACAGAGAATGGGAAAGACAATTCTAAGTACAAGAAAATCCTCCACCAAAAAAAACTTTTTTTTCCTACAAAAAAACAAGTTAAACACCTACCTACAAAAAATATGGAAAGCTAAGAAACAAAAACAAACTGAAGGAAAAGAACTATTACCATACATAAGAAACTCCATGCCAGAGACATTTTCTTTGTTATCTGACACCCATACCAACACCAGGATTTTGTTCAGGGGCATGTAGGTAGAGGGAGGCCCCTGCCCCAGCCCTAAAGGAAGAAGAATCATTTCATCTCTCTGACTACAGGATTGTTCAGGCATGAGCACATGGCCCACTTGGGACCAATAAGAAAGTGAATGACAGAAGCTGTGTGCAAAGAACTGAAAGACTCTTTCACTGAATTTAGTAGTGTGAAGATGTGAAGATGAAGCCATCTTGTGTGCACACACACGAAGGAAAAATAAGCAGAAGTGAAAGCCAATTCACCAAGGAAGAAAATCAAATGATGAACAAATGAACATCTGCCTAACCTTAATTCGCAGTAAAACCAATTCAATCTAAAATAAACAAGACTGAGTATTAAATCAAATAATAAATACAATAAAATAAATGCAATTAGTTTAGAAATAACTTCAGCAATGCCTAGCAAAATTGAAAATGTATATATACTAAGCAGATCCACTTTGAGTTTTTTGTATTGTTTTGTTTGTTTGCTTTGGTACCAGGGACTGTGCCACAACCCCAGCCCTATTTGTATTTTGTTTAGAGACAGGATCTAAACAAGTTGCTTAGTGCCTCTCTTTTGCTGAGGCTGACTTTTGAACTTGTGATCCTCCTGCCTTAGCCTCCTAGGTCACTGGGATTACAGGCATACATCACCACGCCAGGCCCTCTTTGGGTTTTGTACCAGGAAATTCATGTATAATATCAGAAGAAACCATGCATACAAAAGTTAATTACAGTGTTATTCATAATAATGAAAAACTGGAAAGAAGTTTACCAACAGATATTTATCCATTCCAGACAGAATTTTTTCATATAGTGAAATGCTTGATGGCAGTTAAAAGGAATAAATTCACTTTATATATATCGAAAATAGATCTCATATAATGTTGAGTGAAAATGAATTTTGAAGAATAAAATGGCAACCTCTTACCAGTTATACCTTTTTAAAACACATAAACCACTTGTTATTTATAAATATATTAATGTGAAAGCATTAAAACATGGGCTAGATATATATATATATACACTAAATCTGAGAGAAGTTACTTTGAAATGAGGGTCACAAAATGCCGCAGTGTGGCTGGGCACAAAATCACGAGCCACTCAAACAGGAACAAACTTTATTTTGAAACTCCCGCCAATGCCCTGTGTGCTCCCGGGAAATATGCGACCCACACACGCGCGTTCTCCCGGGCCACACTACCCCAACCGGAAATCCCTCCTCCGGAATTCCCTCCTACCACACTTTCCCAACCAATGGGAACTCTTTGGGAGTCCCAGATTTCCAAAGTAGCAGGCCCAGGTGGACAGCAGGGGTCTAATATCCATTTGAATGCAGATCTTAACATAATCATATCATCTCAATGGCTTGCTGGCTTCACCTTACAACCAAAAATGCCATGCATCATTTTTACTTGGCTATGACTCTTAGCAACAAAATGAAGTTCACGTTGAGTCCAGAAAGAACTCCCATTTCATTCATAATATTTCAATTTTGTATTTTGAAAATATATTAAGGAAATATGAGAAAATGCTAATGGATGTCAATTCTAGGTGGTATATATGCAGCATTTTAAAAATATAATCCAAATACTTTCCTGAATTTTTGTTTCTCAAATTAAAAAAAAAAACAAAACTAGCTTTGAAAATGTTTTACAGGAAAACAAAATTCAGAAGTTAATTCCAAAAAATGGAAATACTTGAATAATTTAATAACCTACAGAAGATGCCCCAAAACATCAGAGATCCATCTGTAAGCATAAAATGGCAGATGCCGACCTCAACAGATTCAGGGAAGCCATTTATCATTCTTCATGAACTCCGGCACTATAAGGACTTATTATCTGAATGTGAAAATGGCAGCTGGTTACAGAGGGGATTTGGGGTTTACAGGCTACAATTAGAGTGATTTCATCATTGGAACTTGTGAGTGTGCCATTGGGACAGTAAGGGGCTAGTTATGTAGGTTAAAACTTTTAACTCAGGAGGGCAGCTATAAAAAGACTGAGACTCATTGTTACTTGGAGAGATAGTGACAGTTCTGCTCCCTCATATGTTGAAGTATAACACTATAGAAGTACACCAAGGCAAGCATACAAAGCAGGGTTTATTTAAAAAGGGGTACCATAGAGGGAGGGAACAGGGGGCCATAGCTGGTACCCTGTTTAAGGATGGCCTTAGCCTAAGCAACTCCATTTTAAAACTCCATTTAAAACTTCAGTCTCACCAGGTAAGCCCACAGAGCACTCCAATATGTCATCAGGCATATTGAGTCAGAGTGAAATCACTTGATATAAACATGTCATTTGCCTTAACCCTGATAAGAGCCAGAAGGGTAATATCAGGGCGGAAACCACCAGACCAAGTGTCTTCTCTAAGATGTAAACTGTCACTAAGAAACCTGGTAACAGATGATACGCAGAAGCCCCAAAATTTAGTATAAATAATGGAACACATGAACATACATTCAAGCCAGCAGACACTGATGCCCACATGCCAGAGAGCCTGATGAGGACCTGGACTAACATCCCAATTCTTCTCATCATCTGCCCGATACTCTGCATCATTCTCACCGCTCTCAAACTCTACAGCAACCTCTTGATCCTGGTGAGAAAGGCAACTTCTCTTTATGACTGCCTCTTCAGCCAGTCCTCAACTCCACAAGAGGAGAATCCTCCATCGGTTCCTGACCTGATTGCTGCAGTCTGAGTGAAGGTGCATCTGCTGGACTTAAGGTCTAACACTTTAAATCTGGCACTTGAGCTTAGCATGCAGAGAGAATGTCTGTCATAGGTCTGTCATGATTAAGTGTGTTTGCAGTTCTTAGAGTTAACTTAGAATTTGTTGGTTTTGAATTAGTTGTATTTATTGCTTTTATCAGTCTGAATTATTGTTTGTAGTGCCCAGCATTAAGGACTGTCATTTCTTAAGAACCTATAGAGTAAAATTGTATTGAGTGATTTCGAGTGAATAAAGAATTGAAAAGGGCATTAACTCATGGACATTTTTTATTTATCTCCTCAACTGCAAATGTTGCACCTTTGCCCATCGCGACACCCTGGTATCCCAAGAAGCGAAGGTGTTCTGCCTTTTTTATAGGTCTTAGGCTTCCTTTGTTCTCCTGCTCCCTTCCCCTTATCTCTCTTTCTGCTGTGGGATGGTGGGACAGCCAAAAGGAACCAAAACACATTAATTAACAACTTTTACAACTCCCTGTAAGGAGGGGCAATTCTAGGGACAGGTTACCTTAGCAGGTTACCTTGATAGGTTGGAGGAAAGGTTCTGAAGGCATTTCAATCCCTCAGGTAGCAGTTTTCAACTTCCTGGACTCACTCACATTGGCCTCCTTGATCCACCTGATTTGATTTGCCTATCAATATGACTGCCTGTCTAATTCTAGCTTCATTAGGAGTCCAGATTGTGAGGGATGGGTATTTCTTTTTCTGGAATTTATTGTCTCCTAGAGTTTCAATATAGCCTCCTTCATCCAAGGCCCACTGTTTAGTACTTACAGTGTGTACTTTTGGGCTAATTTGCAATGGCAGGAAGGTCAAAATCCAGAGCCTAACATTTAGTATTGCCTCCTGCCTTCAGGACCCATTGTTATAAGGAAAGGATTTACTTACTGGAAAGCTAATGCTTGCCTAGTTTCCCCTCCCTCCTCTGGAGCTGCACAGTCTCTCAGCTTTTCCTTGGGGGCTATTTTGTAGGAAAATTATTTTCCATAACCCTTCACCATCCAGTGAAAAAGGCACCAAACCAAAGTAGATTTATGGATGAGTTCTACCAAATGTTCCAGAAACTGAGTCCTATCTCCTTCTAGGAGCACAGCATAATCCTGAAATACAAAGAGCTAGTTTAGTATCATTCCAGCAATGTATTAAAAGAAAACAGCATCATCTTAAGATTTATAAAAAGAGTGCACATACTATTCAACATCATAAAAGCAATTTCTGTAATACCCAAAGGACCTAAAAACAGCATACTACAGGGACACAACCTCATCAATGTTTATAGAAGCACAATTCACAATAGCTAGACTGTGGAGCCAACCTAGATGCCCTTCAATGGATGAATGGATTAAAAAATGTGGCATTTATACACAATGGTTTAATTTGACTTAAAAAAATCAAAATGACCAAAAAAAAAAAAAACTTAATCGTAAAGTTCAAACTTTAAAGTTCAACTCGTGTAAAGAAAAAGAGACAATAATAAAACTTAGTTATCATTATTTTTGCAAATACTTGCAAACTAAAAATAGAAGAAATTCTCCAAATGTCATAGGAATATAACATTCACCTTAGTCAAAAAACGACTGAGGATGCCCAGTATCAGGTAAGTCCATAAAATGAAATAAATGTTCAAAAGCAAAAGCAAATGGCAATAGCTAGAGAGTAAGTAACTGTCTACTGAGAAATTCTAACAGCATCCTGTGTTACTGCTACAACTAATCAAAAAACCAGCGCCTGAGCCTCAGTCCCACTCTGGGCCGGCGCCCAGGCGCGTGCGCGTGCGCATGCGCGATCCTGACGCATGCGCAGAGGACGAAGGAGTGAAAGATGGCGGCGCAGGAATTTCCTACGCCGCTGCACGGGCACGCGGGTCGGGGCGCTTTCGGCGACGTGTACGAGCCCGCGGAAGACACGTTCCTGCTGCTGGACGCGCTCCAGGCGGCAGCAGCCGATTTGGCTGGGTGCGAGGAGGGAGAGGGCCCTAGCGGGAGAGGGCTTGGGTGTCCCGGAGGGGCCTCAGCGGCCAGGGAAAGGACTGTCGCCGGCCTCAACTGGTGGTGGCTTAGCCCGCCCTTCTGTGGATGATTGACAGCAGAGCGAGTGCCTTATATGAGTGTTTTCCTGTAGATGCGCGCAGCTAATGTGCAAGCAATTTATCTCTAAGCCAGGTATTGATCTTGGCTCCTGAGCTCCTTGTCGCTGTACCACGTTGTGATGTAATTATTCCTTCCAGCTGTTAGTCTGTTAATCTAAGAGCTTCGATAGATAGCACACTCAGAAACAACAAAATATTCCTGAAACGCTGATGTTGATGTTTGTTGGCGGGTGGGGGGGTTACCTAGCTCATAAAAGACACTTTTGGTGCAACAGAAGGGCACCAAAAAGAAGAAAGGTGGTGAAATACTGGGAGCACGAAGGAATTTGTAAACCCACTCTACATATTCTGTAATGACAGCTGTTAGCCACATGTGATTGTTGAACACTGGAAATGTGACTAATGCAAATGACACACTGAATTTCTCGTTTCATTGTAGAAAGTTGTTACATGGATTTAACAGTCTATAGAATCTACTCTTGATTTGTTCAAGTGTTTGCCATTAATTTTAAATTAATAAGAAAAAGAACTATTACCTGTAATTTTTTAATGAAAGGATTTGGGGTCATTAGATTTATTTAATGATCAAGACTTGAAGTGGTTTTCCTCAGGATGAAACAAACAGCTGTCAGCTTCAAAGGTCTATAACGAGTTTATCCCTCTTAAACGGGGTCATATTTTTTGCACATTTAGAATGTGCCAACTCTTAAAACTGATTTTTCATCATAGGTGAAACTTTTGGATATACTGGACTACAGAGTGGTACAGTTCTGTTTTATAGCTTGTCTTTTATTCTCAATATCTCAGAAAGTTTACAAGCACAAATTGTATTGCAAAATCTGCTATAAAAGGATCTGATTTTATTATAATCTTGGATATTTCTACTCTTGGAATTCTAATTATTGAGACCATGATAGTTGTTTTCAAAGAAAAGCCTGAAGATTCACAGACCTTAGTATAGCCCATTATTCTAGCCCATTAAAGGCATGTGTGGACTGGTTCCAAAGTCAGAGAATCATACTTTCTTGTTGGATAGTTGTTTGGGGAGTTAAGTGCTAGAAATTCCCTTAAATGCTATCAAGTCAACCTTTGTAACTGGGAATAATTGGTGCTTTGGATGCATGTATAAAATTGGGAACAAGGAAATAAGTTTAAAGAGGAAATGCAATAACATGAAGATGTTATTATATTTAGCAATGTTCTAAGACCAAATATTCAGATATATTACCATTTGAGCATTTAACTATACAAATGCAGAATTCCTTTGCTGCTCTACATCTCTACAAGTAGAATGGAGGACCTTTTTTCCCCTAGGATGTGCTGTTGAATTTATGAAGGTTAAGTACTTAAAAATTAGAGAGTAACTTCTTTCATGAATAAAGTTTGTAGTAATACCAACACTAATACTTTAGGAAATACTAACCCAGGAAATACTATCCCAGAAAGGGATGGCATCTTTCATATTAGTATTTCCAACCCTAAGTTAATACTCCATGAATTTTTGTAATGCTTTGTTGAAATTAAGAGCCATATGTTGTAATATGTATCTTTTGTGGATTACCATATGTTACACCCGCAAAACATTAGCAGTTTTGAGTTGCACAGTGTCAAAGCACAAAGTGATTGTCAGAAATTATAATTTATATTTCCATATATTTGCAGGGGAGCAATGATGTTGGAGAAATATAACTAGAATGAGAATTATTTTCTGTGAGGTGTATTTTAATACTACTGTACTAATATTTACTTTGTTGTATATTTTTTAGAGTGGAAATTTGCCTTGAAGTTGGGTCAGGGTCTGGTGTGGTATCTGCATTTCTAGCCTCTATGATAGGACCTCAGGCTTTGTACATGTACGTATATAATAATGTTCACCCAGATCTTACAGTAAGATTCACTGAGTGTGACTGCTTGAATGAAAAACTTTTATGTCTGTATCTGATTGTGTTTAAGAATAATAAGGACAAAGATTGCAAATTATGTTTCCCTAGGAATTCCAACTTTATATTCAAACAGTTCCTTATATCCCCAGTCCTTTTTATTTTTTATTTTGAGACAGGGTCTTGCTAATTTGCTGCTTGTGGCCTCAAATTTATGATCCTTCTGCCTCCACCCCACAAGTTGCTGAGATTAGACTTAAATGTTTTACATAGAAAATTTGAAAATATAGAAAAATAATGAAGAAAATAAGTCACCAAAAATTTTTACCCCATATCATCCAAGTGTGTTTTCATTTTTTTTATTTTCATTTTTTACTTAATATTGTATCATGAGCACTTCTGTATCAGAATTTTCTTAAATCATATTTTTGGTGGCTGCATAGTATTATAGTTAAATAAGTTTCTTCAGATGTGTATGCATATATGCTTATTATTCTGTTCTTATAAATTATATCAGTATAATCATCTTTTCATCAATCTAACCAATGTTTGTTCTTCTTTGCCATTATTAAAATATTCTAATTTTTTTCTACACCTGCTATATGTAGAATTCATTCCTTGAATTATTCAGTATCAGATTTGCCTCATGGACATAGGAAATAGTATTCTTTTTTTTTATTATTATTATTAGGTGCACTGATATCAACCCTGATGCAGCAGTTTGCACCCTGGAAACAGGACGCTGTAATAATGTCCAGATTCAACCAGTAATTACAGATTTGGTAAGCTGTTAATCCTTGTTCAATATCAATTTCCTTTTCAAATGAACTGAAGTCAAGCTAAGTGTGGTGGTGCACACCTGTAATCCCAGTTCAAAGCCAGCCTCAGCAATTTAGCAAGGCCTAAGCATCTTAGTGAGACCCTACCTCAAAATTAAAAATAAAAAGGGCTAGGGGTATAATTCTGGGTAAAGTATCTCTGAGTTCAATCCCTCTACCACCACCCAGTACCAAAAAATAAAAATTAAAAAAATCAAATAAATTAAAGTCACAATGTTTTACGTCAAAGAAACTTTAGTAATGAATTAACTCATGACCCACTAACACTAAGCAGTATAATTTATATAAATTCTTGGCTGATAGAATCCATCTTCTCCATATTTCAAAAGAAATTGATATTGGCTTGCATAAGTCAGGCATCATCTGTATCAGTGAACTAAATTCACATTAGTTTGAATTTTAAAAGTGGATAGCATCATGCACACTTGACTTCAGGAACTCAAATGATGTTACACGCATATTTTTCCTGGCTCTGAACTTTTCTCTGGTGGCTCTGTTCTTAGGTAGTTTTTCCCTTCATAGTAATAAAACATTTGCATGTCTGCATTATATTTCTCAGCAACTCCCCAACTAGAGAAACCCTTTATAGTCTGTTGTTTTAATGAAAGACCCAGAATGAGTGTTGGGTTATGTGCTTTTATCTCTTTCTCTGTATCCCAGGGGAATTGGAATAGTAGATTAATGGTTTAGAACTGGGTCATAGTCTCACTTCAAGAACTGGCTTGGATTAGACCCTACCTGAGCCACTTGGATTTAAAATGACAGAAGGTAGAGTTTCTCCAACAGCCAAGGAGATGTAATTTTAAAAAAGGTAGAATGGGTCCTAGGCAGGCAAAAGCAACAAATGACAGCTGTAGAACCATTGTTTTCTTTTAAGAAGTTAACATCAGGGGCTGGGGCTTAGCCCAGTGGTAGAACGCTTGGCTTGCAGGTGTGAGGCACTGTGTGTGATCCTTAACACCAAATAAAAATGAGTAAATGAATGAAGATATTATGTCCAAAAAAGAAGATGTTAACATCATGCACTCTTAAGTTGCAGTTAAGTTGATATTAAGACTTGGATAAATTTTAATTCATAAGTTTTTTTAGTTATAGACATGAAATGCCTTTTAATCAGCAAAAATCAATAGCACATCCCAGCTAGACATAAAAAATGCAAAATGCTTTCTGTGCTTCTTGACCTGTGTTATTAGTCTTACACTAATGATAATAGGTAGCTTTCTTGTTCTTCAAATTTACAATTGTTTTGCAGTCCAGAAGGAATTAAGCCAAAGACACAAATTTTTTTCAGATTGCTAGTGTTATTATTGCTAATAAAAACTACAGTATCAGAAAAGGAATATTAGGTGATTTACATTAGATTTACATTAGATCAATGTGATGATTTAATTTTTTAAAAATGTTTCCTTAGTGTATCCATAATTGATATGAAATATATGTTTTGATGGGGTTTTTTGTTGGTGTTTTTTTTTGTTGTTTGTTTGTGGTAAGGGTTTGAACCCAAGGCCACTCAACCACTGAGTGATATTCCTAGCTCTTTTTGTTTTTTAATTTTTTAAGTCAGAATTTTACTAAGTTGTCTTTGACTGGCCTAGAACTTGTTATCCTCCTGCCTTGGCCTCCTCAGTAGCTGGGGTATAATACCATACCTAGCTTAAATATGCTTTTGAAAGATCAGTGAAACTTCAGAGACAGAAGAAATTCAGAATATCTATATTTTTAAATAGACATGGGAATATTTTAAACAGGTTATATTTTTGGAAGCTACATGGTATTAACCATAAATTCAAAATTAAATTATTTGGATAATCCAGATTATCCAAATCCAAATCTAGAAGTCCCTTAGCTCTTTTAAGATTTAAACTTACTGGGTGTCCATGCCAGAATCAGTTCTCCAGTAACATTGACTCTAATACTAAATTTTTTTTTATTTATTCTTTTTAGTTATACATGACAGTACAAAATTTTTTTTCAATTTGAAAATATTTTTATTTTATTAATACAGAGCATTTTAACATATCATACATACATGGAATGTAACATCCCATATTTGTGGCTGAATATGATGTGGAGTTACACTGGTCATGTATTCATATATGAACATAGAAAAGTTATATGTCAGATTCATTCTACTGTCTTTCCCATTCCCATCCCTGTCCCCGTCCCCTAACTTTCTACCCCACCCACCCGCTTCGATCCGGTGAACCTCAACTCCTTCCTCCCCCATCTGTATATCAGAACATTTGACCTTTGGCTTTTGGGGGGACTGGCTTATTTCACTTAACATGATAGCACCAGTTCCATCCATTTACCTGCAAATGCCATAATTTCATTCTTTATGGCTTTATGGCACCTAGGATGCTTCCATAGCTTAGCTATTGTGAATTGAGCTGCTATAAGCATAGATGTGTCCACATCACTATAGTATGCTGATCTTAAGTCCTTTGGGTATATGCCAAGGAGTAGGATAACTGAGTCAAATGGTGGTTCCATTCCAGGTTTTCTAAGGAATCTCCATTCTGCTTTCCATAGTGGTTGTACCAATTTGTAGTTCCACCAGCAATGTATGAGTGTACTTTTTCCCCACATCCTCACCAACATTTATTGTTACTTGTATACTTGACAATTGCCATTTTGACTAGAATGAAATCTCAGTGTAGTTTTAATTTGCATTTCTCTAATTGCTAGAGATGTTGAACATTTTTTTCATGTATTTGTTGACCAGTCGTGATACTGAATATTCACTTATACAAAGCAATAAACAAGAGACTGGCCTAAGCATAGATGTTGTGATCAACTTATAAACCCTTTACAGAATTTATAAAGCGTTTTTCAGAACATGGGGCATAGATTTCCAGGTAAACTCATGGTTTTGGATTGCTGATTTACCTGTTTAAAAAGTACCACTTCCACTATATTTCATTTTTAGTTTTATAAAAGTCTTTAAAAGTGTGTATTACACTTTTCTTTATGTGCTTAAAACATACCAAACATATTTCACCTTTGACTCTTTAATATTGTCTGTGCTATGTATGGTGATGATTAAGGTCTATTCGGGTATATCTACCTTTACACTAAATAGCTATAGTCTGCCATATTAGTTGTTTTATTTTGTCATATTTCATTGCTACTTATTGACAAAACTTTTGTTTCTCCATTTTACTGTGTTTTATGCTAGAAAATCAAACAACCAATTTAGTTGAATTGTTACTTAGACCAAGAGTTAAGGAATTCTGAATGAGTGCCTCTCATATGAATAAATTCTATGAGTTTTGCTAGGAGGCCTATTTTGCTTATTTCCCAATTCTCAGAGATGTTTCCAGGCTGTGTTATTTAGCAAATTAAAAAGCTGAATATGAATGGGTAAGAGATAACTACAGTTTAGACTTTTTATCAAGTCCATAATGACTTATTTAAATTCATTTTAACTATAAGATTTCCTATTTTTAATATCAATTTTTCTCTTTATTTAAAATTCAGTTATTGCAGTGATTATAACAGCAGTACCTCAGGGGCTGTCATAAACAGTTGCAAAGCACATACTTTTCTAGTTTCATTACCCAGCATTTGTGGAAAATTGTATTGTGGAGTTCTTTACATTATGAGAAACTTAATTTCTTATGGGACTCAGAAAAGCTTTTGGTTACTTAAATGTATTTCCTCACACCAGTGCTGTTACTGGGGAAGACAACAGATTTCTCATCTTTTGACTGAAGACAAGACTACATCTGAATTACATCCAAAAACTGGTTATCTTTTCTCTTTTTAAATGAGAAAGAAAATTTACCTCTGTAAACATTTCTTCAAAAGTACAACTTAATATTCTCATTGAACAGCATAGTTAACAGACTTAATATGATAATTAAAATAGGATTGCCTGCATAAACCTGGATAAAATGAAAATTCAAAGATACTGTTTCATAGTAATATATGTAAGTAGCCCAGCAATATACCCAGTATTTAGGTGATAAGCCTGGGCATTAAGTGACTTTGAATTACAAGGTTTCTTTAATTCTCTTTCAACCATTCTGATCACATTAAGGAGAAGGTCTCAGTTTGGTGTTTTTCTTTAACACCTATTTAGCACTGACAAATGCCTTTTAAGGAAAAGAACAAGCCTGGGTTACTCTGAAACTGGCAACAGTAACTATAATTTAATAACATTTTGTTTGTATTGCATTTATTCTTGAGACATTTCTATTTCCAGAGAGTCCTATTGATTATCCATTTATAATAGTAAATGGTTAAGTCTCCTTTTACATTTAATTTATTGAACAAAATGGTATTTATTTAAAGAATGGTATTCAACAAATATAGTAGATATTTATGCAGATATGGGGACAATTATGAGAGGTTAATAAATAAAGTTTTGCATATTGTGAAGAAATAGCCTCAGAATCAATGAGTAAAGAGCTCTTCCATATATAGAGTTTTTACTCCACTATGTGTATGAAGGCACAACATGACATAATCAGTTATGATTTTTAAGTATTTAGTTGTTTAATTGAATAGAGGAATACTCTAAGTGGCACTTGGCTATTTCAGAAAAAACAAAATTTTAAAGAAAGTACTAAACATACTTTCTATAAAAAGGACACTTTTTCTTGTTCCATGGAAAATTATATCCACTATAAGGATTTTCAAAACACCAAAAGTTCATCTTCTTACATTTCTGAACCTCAGATGTGTTTTCTGTCATTCCATCAAATATTTCTCTTGGTTATAGGAAATACAGGTTTAAGTCAGTGGACATATTCTAAACTATTGTCCAAATCTATGCAGAATATCTGCTACAGAATTAGAGCTTGCCTTCTTCTTATTTCATTTTCTCAAAAGGAACCCAGAGTATAAACATGTGCTGTTGAGTAACAGAGGCTTTACTAAACATTTGTTCATTCTGATCATTGTTTTTAGTTAAGTGTATATAATCTTCATCTGAAAATGTAAAAATATTTGTTTCTATCTAAAAGTAAAGCCTTCTTACATTGCTTTTTTCCACAAACCTGGGAGAGTAGCATTTTTCTAATTATTTAAATCAGAATTCTGTTGTTGAATATATTTAGGTTAAAGGCTTATTACCAAGACTGAAGGAAAAAGTTGATCTTCTGGTGTTCAATCCCCCCTACGTTGTGACTCCACCTGAAGAGGTAAGACATGCAGCAAAATTTAGTTATGAATATTTTTGGCTATTCTGTTTCCAAAGTAAAATGAACATCATCTTACATCGGTCAGCTGCTGTAAATACAATGCTTTGATTTTATCCTAATTGTCAGTAATTGGATACTGTTATTAAATAGTAAAGGAATGAAAATACACATTATAATGTATATCCTTAAATTCTCCTCTAAATCATATTTTAAAATAGATACTTAAACTTCTTTTTTTTTTTTTTTGTGGTGCTGGTGGATTAAACCCAGGGCCTTGTGTATGCAAGGCAAGCACTCTGCCAACTGAGCTATATCCCCAGCCCAGTACTTAAGTTTATATTTTCATGTCTATATCTATCCTTTATCATGAATAACAAGTTTATGAAATAAAATAATTTTTATTATTTTTAATGAATAATAAATTCACATAGGAATTCCTTCTGAAAGTCTTTGCCTTCCTCCTTTTATAGGTATTACCAAAAAGCAGAAGTGGAGCAATTTCTCATTTTTAGTAGGGAAAATAATTGAAATGTATGATTTTTAATACCTTAATAATAAAGAGGTAAACCGTATTACCCTTTTTCCAGGAAGTTCAAGGCAGACAGTTTTATAATAGACTAAGACTAGTTTTTCTTTATTTTACTTATTTTTTTTGATTATTCTCTGGCAAAGCTGATAAACCAAAGTGAGTCAGCTTTTTCTTCCTGTGACCAAATGCCTGAGAAAATCAACTTAAAGAAGGATTTTCTTAGTATCAGAGGTTTCAGTCCATGGTCACTTAGCTCTGTTGCTTGTGGGCCTATGGTAAAGCAGAACATGGCAGTCCAGGTGTAGCAAGAGCTGCTCACATGACAGCTGGGAAGCAGAGAGAAAGAGAAATAAAAGGGGAACATAGTAGTAAGGACATGCCCCCAAGAACCCACTCCCTTCAACTAGGTCCTTCTCCTGTAGTTTCTACCATGTCAAAATAATGCCATCAAATTATTAATCTGTCAATGGGTCAATCCATTGATGGGGTCTGAACCCTCATGATCCAATCACTTCCCAAAAGCCCCACCTCTGAACATTATTGAATAGAAGATCACACCTTCAACTCATGAGCCATTGGAGAACACTTCATATCCAAACTCTAATAATCCTAACCCATATTGTGACATAGTGACAAAGAGACTGGCCCTGCAGGGGCTAGCCGCAGACCATCTTACCTCCTGAAACATCAAGAGGCTGTGTTCCTCCAAAATAAGGGAATAAATAGAGGAAGAGAAAGACATGGGTCCCAGAAGAGGAGGTAGTTGAGCCCAGGAGAAATCAAAGGAATACCAGCACAGAGAAGTCCCCAAGAGGAAAGAGTTGACAGAAAACAGAGGAACTGGTAAATTTCCTAAAATGATGAGCTTTGTGGAAAATTATAGTGAAAGGAATGTGTCATAGATGTGAAAAGAGTCAGATTTAGATTCAAAGAAAATTATGCAAATAGACACAGTGAATAATAACAAAAAAACTAAATAACATATTACACAGCCATTAAAATAGTAAATTAGAACTACACCAGATGAAAAGAGGAGGTTTCCATAAGATATTATTGGGTAAGAAAAGCAAGATACAGGTGAGAATATAGAATATGATTCTTTTCTTGTAAAATATAATTTAAAAAATCCCTGTTACACATAAAAGATAAGGGAGGAAACAACAAGCAAAGCAGCAAGGGAAAGTACAGCTATTTTAAAAGGAGGTATATGAACACATTTTTCTTCTTTGTAAAATTATATATGCATTTGGTTATAGATATAAAATAATTATTTTTAAAGGAGTAGTATGTGCCATATTAAATGAATATAAACAGAAGTATGACTATATGTAAATATTTTAAATTAAAATATGGACAAAGGCTATAGAAGGAAATAGAAAACAGTTGTGTCAAGGTTGAAGTAATTTTTGACTAGCTTTTTAAAATATTCTTTGATTTTGAAAACAATATACAGTGGTAAGGATCTAAAGATTTCTAATACTAAAACTTTCATGTAGTTTGTTATAGTTTGGATAAAGAAGTGCCCTCCAATCACTCATGTGTTGAAGGCTTGGTTCCCAGTATAGCAGTGTTCAGAGATGGGGCTTTTGGAAGATGATTGGATCACGAGGTCTAACCTTCTGAGTGAATTAATCCATTTTATAGATTAAAATATGAATAGGCTATTGGAAGTGATGGAATCTGCAAGAAGTGAGAGGAAGAAGTTTGGGGAGTGGGACGTTCCCTGGAAGGGTATTTCTTGTGCCCAGGCCTTTCCTTTCTGTCTCTCTCTTCTTCCTGGCAGCTAGGCACTGAGCAGCTTTTATCTACCACATCCTTTGCCATATTCTGCCTCACCTCAGACCCAGAGCCAGGGAGCCAGCTGACCATGGACTGAATCCTTTAAAACTATAAGCCAAAATAAATTTTTCCTATTTTGTTTTTCTCAGGTATTTATCACAGCAACAAAAAACTAATTAACACAGAGTTTCTTTCTAGAATATCATTAGATTTTTAGAGGAAAAAATACTTAAGTGTGCCTTTATAAAATAAATGGGTTCCTAAAAAGGTTTGTACATTTCATACAATAGTAGCATAGGAAAGGTCCATATGCATTGGGACATTTTGAAATTGTGTCTGTACACAGTATATCTCTTAAAATACAAGCTCTCCCTTCAGGTTTCTCTTAAAATACAAGCTTTCCCTTCAGGTTTCTAAGAATTCTTCTATGTTAAGTATAAGAATTACCATTTCTCTCATTTTATCATATTATTACTAAGTACTTAGTATGTGTAAAGCAATGTCTCTCGAAATTATTTATTCTTATAGTGGATAAAAGTATTTTTTTGGTGCTAGGAATTGAAACCAGGGACTTGTGCACGCTAGGCAAGCATTGTACCACTGAACTACATCCCCAGCCTTAAAAATATTTTAATAATTTCTTCTATTTGTACTGATGAAACTAGTATTTTTCTAATTTTAAAGATAGGGAAGAAAGTAATTCACAAAGAAAATTACCACCTTGCCTAACTTCACACAAAATAGGAAACTGAAATCTAGATTCAACTTCACTTCCTGTTTGCCAGCAGTAAAATACAAAATATAGACTTGTTTGATGATGTTACCTGTCAAACAGATTCACTTTGTTATCTAATTAAAGTCTTGAGTCGATAAAAAAAATTCTACTTTGCCACAGGTGGGAAGTCATGGAATAGCAGCAGCTTGGGCTGGTGGCAGAAATGGCCGAGAAGTTATGGACAGATTCTTTCCACTAGCATCAGACCTCCTTTCCCCAAGAGGATTATTCTATTTAGTTACCATAAAAGAAAACAATCCAGGTAATACATACCAGCTTACTAACTATTTGCTTTGCTGGAAACAAAAATTTATAACATAGAAGACTGTAATTTATAAAGTAACATAGGATATTAATGAATTTAATCATTAATTAAACAAATTAATGTTGAAAGAGGAGAGATTTTTAAGAAGTAAACTTTTCAAGTTTTAAAAAAGTATAATTTTATTTGGGAGAGTGAAATTCTTCTCCTACTCATTAGCTAATATTTGAATACAAAAACCTCTGATTTCTCCTTTTTACCCTCAACATTGTGAATTTTTTCTCTACCCTCTAGTCTTCAAGTCATCGACAGTTCTGCCATATACTCTTTTTTCCTTTTTTTTTTTTGGTTCCGGGGATTGAACTCAGAGACACTCAACCACTGAGCCACATCCCCAGCCCTATTTTGTATTTTATTTAGAGACAGGGTCTCACTGAGTTGCTTAGCACCTCACCATTGCTGAGGCTGGCTTTGAACTCATGATCCACCTGTCTCAGCCTCCCGAGCTAGTGGGATTATAGGCATGTACCACACCCCCAGCCCATATACCCTTCAGTTCATCTGAAATTTTATACTCAAAGTTGTTTTACTATATGGATGTTTATAGCTTGGTTTTCAGATTACTTTATAACTAAATTGCTTCATCTATTTTCTCTTTTTCTGAATATCCCAGTTTGATTTTAATCTTATGTCTTATATCCTTAGTCCCTCAAATCACATTAAGATTACTAGCTTTATTTAGTTTTTGTGTTTCCATTTTCTTAGTTTACTTTTTTCAGTCTTATTTATTTATGAAAGGAAGGCTTCCCTTTTTTTTAAATACATTTAAAGAAATAAGTTACTTTTATTCTTACTAGCCAATATCACTATTCAATTTGCCCATACGTTTGCTGACCATTTTCATCCAAAGGGAAGGATATATGGCAGATTGCAGCCACACAACTGAAAAATTGGTTGCTTGCTATAGTAACAAGTTTAGTTAATGTTTGGTTTATTAATTAATGTGGTTAATTAATGTTTCCAAAGTAGACTACTACTGCTATCAAGCTGTTCAATCTGATTAGAAAGTACCAAGTGATCTGAAGTCCCAAGTTCACTTTAATAGACATTTATTTGGAATACATGTTTTATCAGATGAATATAATTTGTAAATATTCTGTATTTATATTATTAAACTGTTTAGTGACCATATACATCACCAAATTATTTAATTGGAGTTTACCTTTTTTTTTTTTTAACCCATTTTAGAAGACATTTTGAAAACATTGAAGACAAAAGGCCTGCAAGGGACCACTGTACTTACCAGACAGGCAGGCCAAGAAAACCTTTCCATCCTCAAATTCACCAAGTCCTGATATATCAAGAGCTACCAGAAGTATGCTGAGAGATACTGTGAACTGAATGTATTTTGAAACTGAAGTCATTCCTTGGTTAAGAAATCTTATCAGAAATTTGTCATTAAAAAAAAAAAAAAAAAGAGGTGGAAAGATAGGGCATTCTCTTTTACCAGGGAATCAACTTTACAGAAGTATTTATACATGTGCAGTTAAGTATGTATATTTGTAATTTGCATTTTATATGTAAAGGTTATATTTAATTACATGTAAATGTATATTCATTTCAGCATTGGTTCTACTAGCAAAACAGTGGAATCAACCTAAATGTCCATCAGGAAGGTGATTGGTTAAAATAAATTACAGTCTATCTATTTCACTGAACATGCAACCATGTAACATGACTCATGTCTATATATACTAAACAGAAGATGTCCATGTTGTCCTATTAGAATGAGAAGAGCAAGCCATAGAACAGCTTTATCCTACCTGTATATGAAGAAACCACTTCTATTTTGGGTTGGTATTTGCATTTTCACAATAATAATGTTGGTTAAAATTATGATAAACCATAGCCATTTCCCAAAGGGTTGCAGCTGGTGTAGCAGATGTGGTTTTATTGCTGGAGCAAATTAACACATTACTTGGTACCTGCTACACAATGTTGATCTGGAAAATGCCTTATTCACCATACCTATCCATAAAAGCCCACCAGAGGTAGTTTGCTTTCAGCCAACAGGGCCAGCTATACACCTTCACTGTCCTACCTTGGGTATTATCTACTCTCCAGCCTTATGTCATAATTTAGTTTTCAGGGATATCAATCACCTTCCCTATCCACAAGATACTATACTAATTGCATTGATGACATGATACTGACTGAACCAAGTGATCAAGAAATAGTAAATGCAATAGACTTACCAGTAAAATAAGGTAGGAAATCTAAATACACTTCAGGGACCTTCCACCTCAGTGAAATTAATAGGATCCAATGGTTTGGGGCATTTTAAAACATCCCTTTTAATGTGAGGGATAAATTGTTGCATTAAATGTGCCTACAACCAATAAAGAGATATAACATTTAGTGGATCTTATTGTTATTTGGAGGCAACAAATGCTTATTTGGGTGTGTTACTCCAGCTCATTTACCAAGTGACCAAAAAGTTATCAGTTTTGAGTTGGGACCAGAATAAGAAAAGGCTTTGTAATTTGTTCAGGCTGCATACAAGCTGCTCTGCCAGTTAGGCCTTGTGATCTAGCAGATCTAGTGGTGGAGTGTCATTGTCAGATAGGAATGCTGTACAAAGCCTTTGGCAGGCCCCTACAGGTGAGTTCCAGTTTCAGGCCTGTAAGACTGAAACCGGTAATTTTGTAGCAAGACTGGTCATGCCATAAATAACTTGTTTTAAGAGAGAGCTCTTGGCCTGCTACTGGGAACTGAGCTGCCCACCAAACCGAGGCATGTACAGCAACACTCCATCATCAAATGGAAGTGACATACCCATGATTAGACTGAGTAGATCCTGAAGGCTGAAGAAAGTTACATGAAGATGTATTCAAATGGCCCATTTTCCTCACTCCTGCCTTCTCTCTCCCTACCTGCTCCTATGGGCAACTCCCTGTGATTTGCTGACAGAGGAAACTACTAGGGCCTGGCTTACAGATGGTTCTGCAGGCACTACCCCAAATTGGTCAGCTGGAGAACTATAACCTCTCTCTACAACATCCCTGAAAAACATCTGGTGAAGGGCTATCCTTCCAGTGAAGCTTGGAGTAATGCACCAGGCTGTTGGCTTTGCTTGGAAGAGGAAATGGCCACATATACAATTATATTTCATAGCTGTGACCCTTAGTTTGGCTGGAGGGTCCAGAATTGGAAAGGGCCATGATTAGAAATTGGTGGCAAAGATATCTGGGGAAGAGGTATGTGAATACATCTCTTAATAGGCAAAAGACATGAAAATATTTGTGTCCCATGTAAATGCTCACAAAAGCAGAGGAAGACTAATGATAAAGTGAATAGAATACCCATTCTGTGGCTAGCTTTTGTCCTCTTTTCCAAGGCCCTGATTTCACCCGCTGTGATCGTGAACAAGTGGCTGTGATGCAGGGATTGAAGTTAAGCATGAGTTCAGCAACACGGACTTCCACTCACCAAGGCTGACCTGTCTGTCCAAGACTACTTCTGAGCAAAAATTCAACACTGAGCCTCCTATAAGGCACCATTCCCTGTGGTGATCAGACAGCTTTCTGGTGGTAGATTGATTACACTGATTCACTTCCATCATGAAAAGGACAGCATTTTTTCTTTACTGGAAAAAAATGATACTCTGGATATGGATTTGCCTTCCCTGCATGCTATTCATCCTTGGACTTACAAAATGCCTCATGTACCACCATGGTATTCCAGATTTGTGAAAACTATGCATTCTCATCAGTAAATCTAAACTTAAAATGTCTGTTAATTTGATAAAAAAATTGCAATAATAATAAAAGGCAACATAATAAACAGAAAAGGGTAGGATGAGGGAGGCAGAGAGAGGGGCTGGGGGAAAGAAGATGCCCATTTAGACCTTAAAGGTACTGGTACATTCCAGTTTTCATGTTGGGCAGAAGATCCTGCTGTGTTTTACTATTTAAAATACACCTGAAAAAAAAATATTTTTTAACATGCCTGAATAGGACCATGATTTTGAGCCTGTTAGTCTCATGCACAGAAGTTCACCTGGCAGGTGTAAACTGGAATAGTAGAGAGGCCCTTATATGTGAACAATTACATGCAGTATTTAAAGCCTGTAATATTAATCAGTGATCAACCCATCCTAGCAGAGTCCAAGTTCTGAACTAGTTGATTTTAAGAAAAGTATAGTTGCTTTCAAGTGCCTACATCACAGATTACACTCATAAGAAACAGTGAGTGTAGCTATTGTATGCTTGTCCCTTCCCAAAACTCAGAATCCTGTAATTGTAGGATCTTGTGATTCTTCCTATTCCCCCTTGCATCAAAATGTAAAATAGGGTAGGGCTATGGCTTAGTGATAGAGCACTTGCCTAGCACCACAAAATAAAATTAACTGTACAGTGTTTTTAAAGGAAGTCCTAGAGAGAAAAAGGAGAGGGAGAGCATGAGCAGAGTTGACAATTTGGGTCAGGGGATACAGCTTAGTGGTAGAGTGCTTCCCTGGTATACATGAGTTCTGTTTCCAGGACCACCAACACACACACACACGCACACACAAATACCAACAGTGTTAATATTATGTTAACAGATAATATGATAGTTTTGCAAAGAAAACTACAAGAATACATAGATAAAAATATGAGCAAGAATGACAGTTTAGGAAAGTGGTTGTAACAACAATATTCAAAAATCATGTGTATTTTTATGACACCAATATAGTTGAACTGTAAACCCAAGAAAAGGTTAATTCTTTCCCAAAATAATTGTATCAAGCAAGAATAACCTTAATAATAAAACCAGATAAGGATCATGTAAGAAAAGAAAATTATAGGACAATTACATCAACATGGAAGAAAAAAGTATGTAATAATACCACTTATAATAGCACAAACAAGACATTGTGGAATAAATCTAGCATGAACAAAACTAATATGCATAAATATTTAAAATTTGACTAAAGGGTATTTTAAGATCTGAATAGACAGAGACTTATTCCATGTTAATGAGTAGGAAGACTCAGTATCATGAACACACCAATACAGTACAATTCCAGCCTAAATCCCAAAAGGGCTTTTCATGGAACAAGAACAAATGGCCAAGAACATATAAGATACTCCAAAATAATAAGTGAAAGAAAAAAAAATAAGTGAAAGAGCTTGAACTAGTTAAATGTCCAATATATATTATTAAACAACAGCAACTGATAGTTTTATATTGGCCTAGAGAAAAACATAATAATAATAAATAAATATGTACATATATGGAAACACATCTGAGACAGCAGATCAAATAGAATATTCTCTAACTAGTACAGGTACAAGTAATTTTAGATACATATGTGTATATATATCTCTCTCACACACACATGTATATATGAGTGTGTGAGAGAGAAAGAGAATGAGTCAGCTTTTTCATAACTGGACAAAATACCTGAAGAAAAAAATCTTACAGGAGGAAAGATTTATTTTAGCTCATAGTTTCAAAGGTTGCAGCCCATGGTTGGCTGGCTCCATTCATTCTAAGCATGGGGAGCAGATCATCTTGCTGGTACACCTCATTGTAGCCTGGAAGCAGAGAGAATGTGAGCAAAGGGACTCAAACAAGATATACCCCTCCAGGGCATACCCCCAGTGACCCACTTCCTCTAACTAGATCCCACCTCCTACAGTTTCTATGATCCTTCAATGCCATCAAATTATATATCCCTCACTGGATTGATTCACTGATGAGGTCAAAGCCCTTATGATCCAATCACTTCCCCACATCCCCACCTCTGAACATTGCTGCATTGGGGGCCATGCCTTTAATACATAAACCTTTGAGGGCATTCTAGATCCAACTTTAAAAAAAATACACATATTGAAAATGAAATTGGATTTCTACCTCACTTCATATACAAATGCCTACTAAAATGGATTAAGGAGTAAATAAGAAAGGCTGAATTTTAAGTTTTGTAAGAAACATAGGAAAATGTTTATGACTACATGGAAGAAAGTATTTCTTTCTTTAATATTTTTATTAGTTGTTCATGGACCTTTATTTTATTTGCTTATTTATATGCAGTATTCAGAATCAAACCCAGTGCCTCATACGTGCTAGACAAGCACTCTACCACAACCCCAGCTCTCCGGAAGAAAGTATTTCTATAAAACAAACAATAACAAAAAGCACAGGCCCTAATGGAAAAGATCAATAAATCCAGCTACGTTAAAATGAAACAGTTTTGTCTTCTCTGATGTGAGGATGCTGATCCATAATGGGGATGTCGGGGAGCATGGGAGGAATGGAGGAAGACAAGAATGTGACTCCAATTTGTGTACAACCAGAAACATGAAAACTTGTGCTTTACATGTGTACTATGAATTGAAATGTATTCTGCTGTCATATATAACAAATTAGAATAAATAAATTTTAAAAATCAACTAGAAAAAAAGCACCATTAAAAAAGTAAAGATAATTCATAAAAGATGTTTGTACATATATAGATTTTAATAGCCATAATAAAGAATTCTTAAAAATCAACAAATGAAAAAATAGAAATACATTATAAAAATGCTTAAATGACAATAGAGAAAAATATATAAAAGGCTTAAAAATATATGAAAATCACAACCATATAATTCATTAGGAAAATGCAAGTCAAGGCAGGCACAGTGGTAGATGCCTCTAATCTAGCAACTCAGGAGGATCACAAATTCCAGTCCAGCCTTGCAATTTAGCAAGAGAGAACCTGTCTCAAAAAAATAAAAATGGCTGGGGATATAGCTCAGAGATAGAGTACTCCTAAGTTACATCTCCAGTACCAAAAGAAAGAAATTGTAAAGCAATATCACTTTAGACCCTTTTAGACTAGCAAAACAAAGAAGTCTTTTAATCTCAAGTATCAGTAAAGATGTGGAGCAATAGGAATTCTTACAGGACTGCTGGTAAACTAGCACAGTCTTTGTGGGAAACAATTTGACACTATCAAGAGTAAAGTGAAAGATAATTATACTACATAATCTAGAAGCTCCACTTACAGCTATTGGTACTAGTTGTGTACAGAAATGTTTATAGCAACATTGTTTATAATGAGCAGCACTGGAGACAACCTAAAATTCACCGGCCAATGTATAGATAAGTAGTAGAGTATATCAGTGAAAATTGAATTATTCATCAACATGAATTAATTGCACAAAGATATTGAACAGAATACTCAAGTGGGAACATTCATAAAAGGTATTTAGTTGTATAAAATGTATTAGTATATCGTTTAGACATACATGCATATGGTAGGCAGAATGAAAAATGTCGTGCCCTGAAAAGTGTTCATGTCCTAATCCCTGGAACCTGTGGGTGTGTTGCACAACTTGGCAAAGGGGACTTTACAGATGTAATCAAGACTATGAACCTTAAAGATATTATCCTGGATTAAAGTGGACCTAATCTAATCTAATCACCAGAGCTCATAAAAACAAACTTTTCCATCTGGAGTCCAAGAGATACAGATTGGACTAGAGAGGGACCACCTGAGGTTCTGATTTTCAAACATTATTATTTTTTTAAGTTGACATGACTGGTGATTGCACTGTTGTCTGTTTTCATTAGTTACCTATTTCTGTATAACAAGTTACTCTCAAAATTGACAGCATAAACATCAACACTTCTAAGAGTCGGAAATCTGGTAACAGTTATGACGCCCTGGTTTAGGTTTCTGAGGCTTCAATAAAGGTGTCAGCCAAGGCCATAATCATCTCAAGTCTCAAATGTGGATTACTGATCCACTTTCTGGCTCATTCCCATAGTTGCCGGCACGTGGGCCTCCTCATATGACTGTTCACAATGTTTTGTACCACAGCAAGTGATCTAAGCAACAGAGAGCCCAAGATGGACGCCTCATTCTTTTATAACTTTATCTTACATGTGATGTAACATCACTTCTTCGATATTCTACTGGCCATAATTAGGCCTCCCACCCCAAAAGTCTTATGATGACATCAGCTCAGTCTTTAATCTGATAATCTTGTTTTTAACCTATAGCCCTAGATATAGGCTTGTTCCATTATAAGGCAGCAGGCAGCTGATATGCAAGTGATCATAGGTGTGCTCTAATGGGAGACCCAAGGTGCAGTGCCTAGCACATCCAACATGACAGTAGCACAGAGTATGACTAAAAAAGCATGTGTAGGTGTAGCTAAGATCCCTCAGGTATAGTTCCTTAAATTCAACTCAAGTATAACAACTCCTTTTGTAGAACTTTAAAACTAGAGACAAGGTATTCGCCTTAATAACCAACCAACATAAAATGGTGAGACAGATGGTCACTATAGATAACCCCTGTTCAAAAGAGGAGGAATGCAGGCACAAGGGTGTCCTTAGTTCCAGGCAGTTCTGAAATTCATCTGGGTACATGTTGAAATATTAATTAGTATTCAGTCCTACTCCTGCCCAGAAATGACTCTCCGTGGTTCTTGGTTCTGCCCTCTGATATATTTTTCCTTTTTCATTAAAGGTAGCACATATTTGCATCTGAGTAGTTTTCTCAGGCTAGTTCCTGATTGCAATTGAGAGATCCAATGCCTCTTCTCATTTTATATGGTTCATGCTATATTTCTGTGGATATAATTCTCTTCAAAAATTTAAAGTCTCCTACAGATCTTTTTGGGATTAACTTCATTAGCTTTATTTTCAAGATAAGCCCTTATCTGTCTTGCACTTCTGCTATTTTAGAGCTCAAGAACTTCCTAGAAGCACTATTGCTTAAGAACCTGAAGTGCAGATGTCTCTTTTTTCTGACTC